TTATGGGACAGCAGGATTTTATCCCAAATTCCTTGTGGATCTTCTATCCACCATTCATGTAATTTCTTATGCTGGATGCTTCCTGCAAGGTTTTGTGCTACACTCTTCAGCTTGTGCTGATTTCTCTCTTCTAGTGCTAATGGCCTATGACAGATATGTGGCTATATGTCGACCTCTGGTGTACCACTCTGTGATGACTATACAAAGAGTTTGTGTGTTTGTGTTTTTTGCTTGGCTTATACCCCTTTTTTTGGTGTTCATAGGTTCAATAACAACATCAATATCCAGGTTGTGTGGCTCACACATACCAAAAAATCTACTGTATTAATTTTTTGATTGGTAAACTAGCTTGTTTTGCCTCCATAGCAAATGTTATTGTTCCAGCTTTAAATTATACTTTTTATTTTGGCCAGTTATTTTGTGTTTGGTCTTACATATATATAATCAGAACATGCCTAACATCCAAAGAGAACAGGAGTAAATTTATGCAGACATGTTTGCCACATTTATTCTGTTTAATAGTTGTTGTTGGATCTTTGCTTTTTGATTTGTTGTACATGAGATTTGGGTCAAAAGATATATCACAAAGTGTTGAGAATTTTATGGCAATAGAATTTCTTGTTGTCCCTCCAATTATAAATCCCCTGATCTATGGTTTCAAACTGACACGAATAAGAAATCGAATTCAAAGTTTTATGTGTGGTAAAAGTTCAGCTTTTAGACAAAACTTATGAGTTGGTCTGCAAAAAGAAGAATCTGTTTGTGTCTGTATGTGATTTGGGAGAAATACTTCTGACAATAAAATATTGTATTGTTGTATCAGTAAACAATGTGACAGTTATTATATCCTGTGAATTTACCAGATTAGTTTTCCTGACCATTTAGGAACAATTCTCTGTTTTATGTACTTTTTAATAAGTTATCTTCTGCCTGAAGCTTGGCCATTGTTTTGTTAGCTCTTTGGTTGTTTTACCTGCATACTATTCTAATGCAGGATGAGGCTGATAAGCAGAAAGTGAAGTCTGTAAATATAGTTAGTCTTCAGGTCTTCAAAGTTTAAAACTTAAATATAATCTAAACAATTTCATTCAGGTTTCTTCACATAAATGAACAAAATCAGGTAAAGGTCCAGTGTGTATATTTTTTTAAAAGTTTCTTACATTTCTTAAAATCAAGAAGGCCTTGCGACCCCCTTTGAAGCTTTGACGACCCCTAGAGGTGACCCCCAGGTTGGGAACCAGTGGTCTGTGGTGTTCATGTCTTGGGGAAGTAGCTTTAGAGGGAAGCCTGAAGGGAGGGAATGGGATTTTACCTACCCTAGGCTTAACATCCTATTTTTAAAATTCATATAAATTCATTCATTCATTCATATACATTTTTTTTTTAAATTGACAGCATTTCACACCAAACTGTGGTGGGCAGCTGGCGTGGCCACAGGGCCGTGTTCAGCGGGAGGGCCTGGGGTGGAAATGGCTGTAGCATGACATTTATTTTATTTGACTCAGTCTCTCCCTGTATCCCTGTTTCCACTTCTCACTTCCCAAGGCCCGTGCATTTCTTAGGAACTGTAACGATTGTCCATCTGTCCCCTCAGTATTTATACCAGCTAATCTCTACCTAGCTAAACCTGAACCAGAATCTGTACATATCTGCCTGCATTTACTTGTTAGAATGTGCATTAGCTTTGCCTTCTTTATTTTTTTAAATTATTTATCTCGTTTTAAAATGTGTCAAATAGATACTGCAAACCAAAGCCTGTTTCCCAGTCTGCTAGCCTGAGGCCTGCTAGGTTCTGGCCTCACTGTCCTGAGCCGGTCTACCAGGAACTTGACTCTCCTGACCCAGCTAACCTTTTGTTGCCTGTCTCCCCTGATCCTGTATCTGCTGAACTTATATGCTTTAAATTGACCAGTGAAGAAGCCACCCTCATGTATGGTAGCCATCTTTGATTTGGTCTGGTCTTGCCATTTCCAGGGAGTATCCCTGCGTTCAAGTCCCCAGAAGAAGTTCTGGTCGTCATGGCTCCTGAGGCCATCAGCTTTCTCAGCTGCCCAGAGGTTCGGCATCATTGCTGCCCAGCGCCACAGAGCCGGCGCTGCCCAGCACCATGACTGACCATGACCTAGAACCCTCTACAGCCACCTCTGCCATTCAATCAGCTGGCCCTGCTAATGCCCATCCAGATCATCAGTCAGCAGGAGCAGCATTTATTCATCTTTACAATTAATCATGCTATCAAATAAAAAAATTATAAAAGTTATACGAATAAAACTATTTCCTGATGCCAAACTCAGTTTTATTCCCTGTAAAAACAGGCAGCTAGGGAGGGACTTATCGCCCAGGGCTTCATGCACCACTGAGCAGCTTTCATAGGTATGAACAGAGCGCTGCCTCTGCAATACATCCATGCCTGTTACCCTCTGCCCTCACTGTCCTGAGCCAGCTAGTCCATCGCCACACGTCTCCCTGATCCTGTATCTCCTGAACCTATTTTAAGGGATAATCCCTCTTTCTGAGTCCTCAGAGGAAGTTATGGTCGCCATCAGCTTTCTCAGCTGCCCAGTGCCACATTGCACTTAGGATTTTATTTTATGTGATGATTATTTTGTATTTTTGTCTGTCTGATTGAATGCTTGTGCTTAACAAATAAATCAGACGTAACTTTCAACAGTTAGTAGTAACAGTAGTTTTTTCACCAAGCACTTTTTTACTCCTTACTCAAGTTAATTATATTTTGGATGATACTTTTTACTTTTACTTGAGTCATACTTATTCTGAAGTAACAGTACTTTTTACTTGGAGTACAATTTTTGGTTCTACTCTACCCACCTCTGCTCTGTTCCGGAGACAACCTTCAACTCAGCTACTGGCTTTTCAAACTGGAAAAAGGCCATGTACAAAGATGGAGGTTTCCGCTTACATGCTAAAGGAGAGCACCATCTTAATGCCATGTTGGCATGGACAGAGTATCAGAGGGGTGTTGAGAACAATACTTTACTCCAGGCAATGGACAAACAGTACCAAAAAAGGTAGAGGAAAAAGGGAAATATATCAAAACAGTTGCTGATGTTTTGCTATGCACAGCCACTCAGAACATAGCACAGCGTGGCCATCGGGAGTCAGAAGACTCAGGAAACAAAGGCAACATTTTGGCCATTTTGGAGCTCATAGCCAAGCATGACCCCTTAATAAAACAGAAAATGGGACATAGCAATGCCAAGTACACCAGCAACCATATTCAGAATGAGATTTTAGAGGTTTTAGCAGATATGGTGAAAAAAGACGTTATTGAAGAGGTAAAAGAGTGTTCAGTATTCTAGCTGATGAAACAAAAGACTTAAAAAAACAGGAACAAATTTCATTAGTACTCAGGTACTACTACAGAGGTACAGTGCATGAAAGCTTCATGCATTCTGAGCATGCAGACAAACTTGATGCTGCTGGGCTAACTGAAAAAATTGTTAATAGCCTGCAAAAGTATGGTTTAGAATACAGAGAACAGCTGGTGGGGCAGGGCTATGATGGGGCTTCAGTAATGAGTGGCAAACACAGTGGTGTGTCTGCAAGGATACAGTCCCTGGTTAAGCATGCCTTTTATGTGCACTGCAATGCACATTGCCTAAATTTGATTATTGTGGACACAGAGCAGTACCAGAAGCATCATACTTTTTTTCAGCACCTTTATGTGTTTCTGTCAGGATCCTATGTCCACCAGAAGTGACAGGACATACAGCGCTCAATGTATCAGGAGGATCAGCCTCAAGAGTTGCCCAGACTCAGTGATATTAGGTGGGCTTGCAGGTATTATGCCTGGCGAAAACTAATGGACCCGCTTCCAGCTGTGCTACACATCCTTCATGACATTGATGAGGAGAATAATGGAGACAGAAGTGTAGAGGCACGTGGACCGTGAGGGCAGCTAAACCTAGATTTCATTGGCCTTCTAGCAACCTTTAGAAGAATACTTGGAGTTACAAGGTTTTTGAGTGACATGCTGCAGTCCTCATCAGTGGACCTCCCCAGAGCAATTGACCTCATTGAGGCGCTGCAAGACTCAGTAGTATAATATAGAGATGAATCATCTTTTGACCAGCTGTGGACAGAAGTGCTAAGCATCGCTCAGCAGTGCAACATCAGCAGAGAGAGGATGTCTAAAAGGCAACCTAAAACAAGCTCTGCTCTTAACGACGCTGTTGTCATTTCCACAGTTGGTCAGCGATACTGTGACATCAGCAAGGATGATTTTTGTAAGACTGTTTACTATCCGATCCTAGGCCGTGTAAATGCTGAGCTAGAGAGGCGGTTTTCAAAAACCAATTGAGATATCATGAGAGGGATTCAGGCACTCAATCCTAAAAGCAACAGCTTTTTAGAGGAGGCTCCTTTGTTTTTGTTTGGAACCATTTACGACACAAACCTGGAGGATCTGAAGCATGAGCTCCACCAAGCCAAGCGGATCTGGAAGAGAAACAAGGCAGCTGGAATGAAGAATCTCACCAGTTTGCTTGAGTTTACAGAGTTCCTGGAGCCATTTAAAGAGGTCTTCTATGAACTGTTCAGGTTGTGCAAAACTGCTTTGGCCCTACCTGTAAGCACAGCTGCCTGTGAACGCAGTGTGGAGTCCAAGAGAGCCAAGGCCTTGGATATGGATGAGTTTGTAAGGTTGTTCAGCAGCAAACACAGCAATCGCAAGATACAGTTATTTTGAAGTGTCAGCACCTCCAAATGAGTGGCACATTGAGTGGTACTTATTCTGATTGTGATACCACATAATTGTTTACAATACACAGTGTAAAGAGCTGAGCACTACTGATTTT